CGTCACAATCTCCCTGTACGTCACAATCTCCCTGTTTGTCACAATCTCCCCCTTGTCACAATCTCCCCCTCGTCACAATCTCACCGTTCGTCACAATTTCCCCAATCTCACCATCATCACAATCTCCCTGTATGTCACAATCTCCCCGTACGTCACAATCTCCCTGTAGTCACAATCTCACCGCATGTCACAATCTCCCCCTCGTCACAATCTCCCCCTAGTCACAATCTCCCCGTACGTCACAATCTCCCCCTCGTCACCATCTCTCCCTAGTCATAATCTCACTGTACGTCACAATCTCCCTGTTCGTCACAATCTCCCCGTACGTCACAATCTCCCTGTACGTCACAATCTCCCTGTACATCACAATCTCCCCCTCGTCACAATCTCCCCCTCGTCACAATCTCCCCCTCATTACAATCTCCCCGTACGTCACAATCTCCCCCATCATCACAATCTCCCCGTCATCATAATCTCCCCTCGTCACAATATTCCCGTAGGTCACAATCTCCCCATACGTCACAATCTCCCTGTACATCACAATCTCCCCCATCATCACAATCTCCCCATCATCACAATCTCCCCGTACGTCACAATCTCCCCCATCATCACAATCTCCCCGTCATCACAATCTCCCCGTACGTCACAATCTTCCCGTACGTCACAATCTCCCCATACATCACAATCTCCCTGTACGTCACAATCTCCCCATACATCACAATCTCCCCCTCGTCACAATCTCCCCGTACGTCACAATCTCCCCCATCATCACAATCTCCCCGTCATCACAATCTCCCCTCGTCACAATCTCCCTGTACGTCACAATCTCCCCGTACGTCACAATCTCCCTGTACGTCACAATCTCCTCACCGTTACAATCTCCCTGTACGTCACAGTCTCCCCTTCGTCACAATCTCCCTCTCGTCACAATCTCCCCCTCGTCACAATCTCCCCGTACGTCACAATCTCCCCTACCATCACAATCTCCCCGTCAGCACAATCTCCCCGTACGTCACAATCTTCCCGTATGTCACAATCTCCCAATACGTCACAATCTCCCTGTACGTCACAATCTCCCCCATCATCACAATCTCCCCGTCATCACAATCTCCCCGTACGTCACAATCTCCCCCATCATCACAATTTCCCCGTCATCACAATCTCCCCGTACGTCACAATCTTCCCGTACGTCACAATCTCCCCATACGTCACAATCTCCCTGTACGTTACAATCTCCCCGTACATCACAATCTCGCCCTCGTCACAATCTCCCCGTACGTCACAATCTCCCCCATCATCACAATCTCCCCGTCATAACAATCTCCCCTCGTCACAATCTTCCCGTACGTCACAATCTCCCCATACGTCACAATCTCCCTGTATGTCACAATCTCCCCGTACGTCACAATCTCCCCCTCGTCACAATCTCCCCGTACGTCACAATCTCCCCCATCATCACAATTTCCCTGTCATCACAATCTCCCCTCGTCACAATCTTCCCGTACGTCACAATCTCTCCATACGTCACAATCTCCGTGTACGTCGCAATATCCCCGTACGTCACAATCTCCCACTCGTTACAATCTCCCCGTACGTCACAATCTCCCCCTCGCCACAATCTCCCCCTCGTCACAATCTCCCCTCGTCACAATCTCCCTGTACGTCACAATCTCCCCCTCGTCACAATCTCCCCCTCGTCACAATCTCCCCATACGTCACAATCTCCCTGTACGTCACAATCTCCCCCTCGTCACAATCTCCCCCTCGTCACAATCTCCCCCTCGTCACAATCTCCCCGTATGTCACAATCTCCCTGTACGTCACAATCTCCCCGTACGTCACAATCTCCCCGTACGTCACAATCTCCCCGTACGTCACAATCTCCATTTACGTCACAATCTCCCTGTACGTCACAATCTCCCTGTATGTCACAATCTCCCCCTCGTCACAATCTCCCCCTCGTCACAATCTCCCCGTTCGTCACAATTTCCCCAATCTCCCCATCATCACAATCTCCCTGTACATCACAATCTCCCCGTACGTCACAATCTCCCCGTAGTCACAATCTCACCGTATGTCACAATCTCGCCCTCGTCACAATCTCCCCCTTGTCACAATCTCCCCGTACGTCACAATCTCCCCCTCGTCACCATCTCCCCCTAGTCATAATCTCACCGTACGTCACAATCTCCCTGTACATCACAATCTCCCCGTACGTCACAATCTCCCTGTACGTCACAATCTCCCCGTACGTCACAATCTCCCTGTACATCACAATCTCCTCACCGTTACAATCTCCCTGTACGTCACAATCTCCCCCTCGTCACAATCCCCCCGTACGTCACAATCTCCCCCATCATCACAATCTCCCCGTCAGCACAATCTCCCCGTATGTCACAATCTTCCCGTACGTCACAATCTCCCCATACGTCACAATCTCCCTGTACGTCACAATCTCCCCCATCATCACAATATCCCCGTCATCACAATCTCCCCGTACGTCACAATCTCCCCCATCATCACAATCTCCCCATCATCACAATCTCCCCGTACGTCACAATCTTCCCGTACGTCACAATCTCCCCATACGTCACAATCTCCCTGTACGTCACAATCTCCCCGTACATCACAATCTCCCCCTCGTCACAATCTCCCCGTACGTCACAATCTCCCCCATCATCACAATCTCCCCGTCATCACAATCTCCCCTCGTCACAATCTTCCCGTAGGTCACAATCTCCCCATACGTCACAATCTCCCCGTACGTCACAATCTCCCCATCATCACAATCTCCCAGTACGTCACAATATCCCCGTACGTCACAATCTCCCCCTCGTCACAATCTCCCCGTACGTCACAATCTCCCCCATCATCACAATCTCCCCTCGTCACAATCTTCCCGTACGTCACAATCTCCCCATACGTCACATTCTCCCTGTACGTCACAATCTCTCCGTATGTCACAATCTCCCCCTCGTCACAATCTCCCCGTACGTCACAATCTCCCCCATCATCACAATTTCCCCGTCATCACAATCTCCCCTCGTCACAATCTTCCCGTACCTCACAATCTCTCTATACGTCACAATCTCCGTGTACGTCACAATCTCCCCGTACTTCACAATATCCCCGTACGTCACAATCTCCCCCTCGTCACAATCTCCCCGTACGTCACAATCTCCCCCTCGTCACAATCTCCCTGTACGTCACAATCTCCCCCTCGTCACAATCTCCCCCTCGTCACAATCTCCCCATACGTCACAATCTCCCTGTACGTCACAATCTCCCCGTACGTCACAATCACTCCGTACGTCACAATCTCCCCCTCGTCACAATCTCCCCGTACGTCACAATCTCCCTGTATGTCACAATCTCCCTGTACGTCACAATCTCTCTGTACGTCACAATCTCCCTGTACGTCACAATCTCCCACTCGTCACAATCTCCCCCTCGTCACAATCTCCCCGTACGTCACAATCTCCCTGTACGTCACAATCTCCCCGTACGTCACAATCACCCCGTACTTCACAGTTAAAAGGGTTAAAACCTATTCCTATATCTTGTTACTGGCAAAGGAGGTCTCATAATGTAAATGCTCACCCCGAGCACCTCAATACTCTGATGGTGCGCTGTTTTTGAGCTGTACGCCTTTTGGCGTCTTCTGATCCAACACCAGTGGAGACTAAAGGGGCTCTAAGAAAAGCCGTCTCGGGTGTGGACAAATAAAAATTCAAGGACAGTGCCAATATTATCATTATCAGATTTGTCTCTTTTGTTTGCATTTTGACTGCTTGTGTTGTGGTTATTGCAAACATGATGCCTTGAATAAAGGTGTCAGTATTTTTTGTGCCAGTTAAAAGGGGTAAAACCTATTCCTATATCTTATTACTGGCAAAGGAGGTCTCGTAATGTAAAAAATCAAAACTACTCGCCCCTAAAACTTTCGTGGTAACTATTGCATGGCTTTCTATCATGAGCGCGTATTTTCATTTAGATTCATAGGTTGTTGTTGTTGGTGGTGGTGGTTTTTATTCACGACTTTTACGTGAACGGAAAGGACACAATTCCGCCCGTTTTTCTCGTTGAAAATCGGTACATTTCAAAAAAAACATTCGCAGACCTGGTCACAAAAGCAGAGTAATATGAGGCGCACAGAGTAATATGAGGCGCACCGCCCCCCTGATTAATATTCATGAGCTGCAACGCCCCCTCTAATGAATATTCATGAGATGCAACCACGCCCCCCCCCCCCGTCTAATTTATATTCATGAAAAGCAACGCCCCCTAAAATATATATTCATGAGATGCCCCGCCCCCTGATTAATATTCATGAGATGCAACGCCCCCTCCCCCCGTCTCTCTAATTAATATTCATGAGACACAACGCCCCCTAAAAATATATTCATGAGATGCCCCGCCCCCTGATGAATATGCATGAGATGCAACGCCCCCTCTAATGAATATTCATGAGATGCAACGCCCCCTCACACACCCACACCCGACACACCGCCCCCCCTATGACATCGGCGTTGTTGGTACAGCCCGATAGGCGTCATCGCCCGCGGACTCTACCAACTTCCCCACCCCGCCGCCACCGGGGGGGTGGGTGGGTCGGGATCTGTGGTCATGACGTCACAACAGAACATTATTTAAACAACAACAACAAAAAAACACTCATTTATAATCGCATCGCATTTACCCATTGTTGTTATCGTCGTTGTTGGCGCTACTGCCACGCAGCTATTTAATTCGATTAAAAATAATCGACGTTAATTTAACCACCCCTCCCCGCCGCCTCAACCCCGCTTTAACGTGAATAGTTTCACCCACAGCCGCCAATCTCAGTTGGTACAGTCCACGTAGAGAGTATAAATACGCGGGGTAGTCGGTGACGCGGCTTCCTCTGCGCGCGCACGACGGCAGTTGGTCCCCTTCGCTTCCGCCGCCTCTCTGTCGCGTGTCACTCCGCGCCCGGGACTCTTTTTTTCGTGTGTGCTCTCGCCGCCGTTGCATTTTTGGTAAGCTGGTACGCAACAAACAAAAAGAAGATTTTACAACGAGACAAAAATCTAAAAAAAAAATCCCGCGCGATTCTGGTGCGTTGGCCGGGTTAAATTGCGAGGTGATAATTAACGGAAGTTTTGTAAAACGTTTTTAAAAAAATGTAATTTTAATTTGCGCGTCACGGGGTTTTTTTAATATAACATGGTGGCCGGGGTGGGTGGAGGGAGGCGTTTGCATTTCGTAGTCCGCATAGTCGGCGCTTGATCCCCATTGGCCGCGCCCTTTGTGCCACGTGGCGCACCAGGCCCGGCGGCGATTGGCGGACGTGGCGTGGCCGGTCAGTTGTGGGCGGAGCTGGTGGCGTATCCGTGGTGGGAAATTAAATTGCGGGGCCTATTTTTTTAAAACCGATAAAGTTGTCAAATTAAAAAAAAAAACTTTTAACGTTTAAAAACAAATAATCTTTTTTTTAAATACATTTTGTAAAAAGTAAAATTGTTCGAACGCTTCTATGAAATGTTACGCTAGCAACTGTCAGGATACATTTTAGAAGCTTTACGTTTCCATTGAAAACCTATTTGCCTTAAAACAATTTAAATGTTCAGTAAGTTTGTGTTGTTGTTTGTGTAGTTGTTGTTTGTGTAGTTGTTTGTGTTGTCCGTAAGTTGCTTTTTGTTGTGTCCTAGTGGGGTGTCACTGTGTGTGTCACTGTGTGTGTCACTGTGTGTGTCACTGTGTGATAGTGTAGCGGTTAGCGCGCTGCACTATGAACCTGGCGACCCGGGTTCGATTCCCGCTCACGGCCAACACCAGTGACGATTATCTGAACCGGTCCCGGGCCTCCCCTAGGTCGACTCAGCCTCAAATGAGTACCTGGTGCGGTGTGTAAACATTGCCACTAGGGAGACAAAGGCGGTCGGGCGTGGTGCTGGCCACCCACCCCCTCGTGTACCGTTCCGGCCTTCATAGGTGCTCGCTAACAGCACTTGCCCCTACAGTCTGTTAAGGCTATATGGGGGATCTTTGTCACTGTGTGTGTCACTGTGTGTGTCACTGTGTGTGTCACTGTGTGTGTGTCACTGTGTGTGTGTGTCACTGTGTGTGTGTGTCACTGTGTGTGTGTGTGTCACTGTGTGTGTCACTGTGTGTGTCACTGTGTGTGTCACTGTCACTGTGTGTGTCACTGTCACTGTGTGTGTCACTGTCACTGTGTCACTTTGTGTGTCACTTTGTGTGTCACTGTGTGTGTGTGTCACTGTGTGTGTGTGTCACTGTGTGTGTGTGTCACTGTGTGTGTGTGTCACTGTGTGTCACTGTGTGTGTCACTGTGTGTCACTGTGTGTGTCACTGTGTGTCACTGTGTGTGTCACTGTGTGTCACTGTGTGTCACTGTGTCTGTCACTGTGTGTCACTGTGTCTGTCACTGTGTCACTGTGTCTGTCACTTTGTTGCAGTGTGATGCTGATGATTGCAGACACACGCAGACACACACGCAGACACGCGCGCAGACACGCGCAGACACGTCCGTGGTAGTGGTGATAGTGGTTGTTGTAGTGGTGGTAATGGTCGTGGTGGTAATGGTCGTGGTGGTAATGGTCGTGGTGGTAATGGTAATGGTCGTGACGGTAATGGTTGTGGTGGTAATGGTTGTGGTGGTAATGGTGGTAATGGTCGTGGTGGTAATGGTCGTGGTGGTAATGGTCGTGGTGGTAATGGTCGTGGTGGTAATGGTCGTGGTGGTAATGGTCGTGGTGGTAATGGTCGTGGTGGTAATGGTCGTGGTGGTAATGGTCGTGGTGGTAATGGTCGTGGTGGTAATTGTTGTGGTGGTAATGGTTGTGGTGGTAATGGTTGTGGTGGTAATGGTTGTGGTGGTAATGGTTGTGGTGGTAATGGTTGTGGTGGTAATGGTTGTGGTGGTAATGGTCGTGACGGTGGTGGTAATGGTCGTGGTGGTAATGGTCGTGGTGGTAATGGTTGTGGTGGTAATGGTCGTGACGGTGGTGGTAATGGTTGTGGTGGTAATGGTTGTGGTGGTAATGGTTGTGGTGGTAATGGTCGTGACGGTGGTGGTAATGGTTGTGGTGGTAATGGTTGTGGTGGTAATGGTTGTGGTGGTAATGGTTGTGGTGGTAATGGTTGTGGTGGTAATGGTTGTGGTGGTAATGGTTGTGGTGGTAATGGTTGTGGTGGTAATGGTCGTGACGGTGGTGGTAATGGTCGTGGTGGTAATGGTCGTGGTGGTAATGGTTGTGGTGGTAATGGTCGTGACGGTGGTGGTAATGGTCGTGGTGGTAATGGTTGTGGTGGTAATGGTTGTGGTGGTAATGGTCGTGACGGTGGTGGTAATGGTTGTGGTGGTAATGGTCGTGGTGGTAATGGTCGTGGTGGTAATGGTTGTGACGGTGGTGGTAGTGGTGGTAATGGTAGTGGTGGTAATGGTAGTGGTGGTAATGGTCGTGGTGGTAATGGTTGTGACGGTGGTGGTAGTGGTGGTAATGGTAGTGGTGGTAATGGTCGTGGTGGTAATGGTCGTCGTGGTAATGGTTGTGGTGTTAATTGTTGTGGTGTTAATTGTTGTGGTGGTAATGGTTGTGGTGGTGGTGGTCGTGGTGGTAATGGTTGCGGTGGTAATGGTCGTGGTGGTAATGGTCGTGACGGTGGTGGTAGTGGTTGTGGTGGTAGTGGTTGTGGTGGTAGTGGTTGTGGTGGTAATGGTTGTGGTGGTAATGGTTGTGGTGGTAATGGTTGTGGTGGTAATGGTTGTGGTGGTAATGGTTGTGGTGGTAATGGTTGTGGTGGTAATGGTTGTGGTGGTAATGGTTGTGGTGGTAATGGTTGTGACGGTGGTGGTGGTTTATCCGTGACCTTTCGTGCGGTGGCGGTGGTGGTGGCGGTGGTGATAATCCGCCGATTTGCTCAGGAATCCCCCTCGCTAATGAGCTCCTCCCTCCCCTCGCCCCCAATCCCGAATTAACTCTTCATTCTCACTCGGTGGGTTTCACGGTGGCCGTGTGGGTGGGTCAATGGTGGGTGGGTTCACAGTGGCCGTGTGGGTGGGTGGGGTTCACGATGGCCGTGTGGGTGGGTCAATGGTGGGTGGGTTCACAGTGGCCGTGTGGGTGAGTGGGTGGATTTCACGGTGGCCGTGTGGGTGGGTGGGTCAATGGTGGGTGGGTTCACAGTGGCCGTATAGGTTGGTGGGGTTCACGGTGTCTGTGTGGGTGGGTGGGTCAATGGTGGGTGGGTTCACAGTGGCCGTGTGGGTGGGTGGATTTCACGGTGGCCGTGTGGGTGGGTGGGTCAATGGTGGGTGGATTTCACGGTGGCCGTGTGGGTGGGTGGATTGATTCACGATGGCCGAGTGGGTGGGTTCACGGTGGGTGGGTGGGGTTCACGGTGGCCGTGTGGGTGGGTGGGGTTCACGATGGCCGTGTGGGTGGGTGGGGTTGACGGTGGCCGTGTGGGTGGGTTCACGGTGGGTGGAGTTCACGATGGCCGTGTGGGTGGGTGGCGTTCACGATGGCCGTGTGGGTGGGGTTCACGGTGGGTGGGTTCACAATGGCCGTGTGGATGGGTTGATTTCACGATGGCCAGGTGAGTGGGTCAATGGTGGGTGGGGTTCACGATGGCCGTGTGGGTGGGGTTCACGATGGCCGTGTGGGTGGGTGGGGTTCACAGTGGCCGTGTGGGTGGGTGGGGTTCACGGTGGCCGTGTGAGTGGGTGGGGTTGACGGTGGCTGTGTGGGGTGGGTTGTGTTCTGTCGCACAACACTGCAGTTACATCATTATCAAACACAATGCATCGTATAACACTGCAGTTACATTATTGCATCGTGTGTGTGTGTGTAGTCCCACCGTGGTGTGATGTCGGCAGTTGGTGTGACGCGTGGCGTGTGTGATGTTGTAGAGAGATAGTGTAGCGGTTAGCGCGCTGTCTGTGTGTGTCTGTGTGTGTGTACAGGTGTGTGTGTGTTACAGGTGTGTGTGTATACAGGTGTGTGTGTGTTACAGGTGTGTGTGTACATGTGTGTGTTACAGGTGTGTGTGTACATGTGTGTTACAGGTGTGTGTGTGTGTTACAGGTGTGTGTGTACATGTGTGTGTACAGGTGTGTGTGTGGGGAGCGGTAGTGTAGCGGTTAGCGCGCTGTCTGTGTGTGTCTGTGTGTGTCTGTGTGTGTCTGTGTGTGTCTGTGTGTGTCTGTGTGTGTCTGTGTGTGTCTGTGTGTGTCTGTGTGTGTGTGTGGGGAGCGGTAGTGTAGTGGTTAGCGCTACGCTGCGCTATGAACCCGGCGACCCGGGTTCGATTCCCGCTCACGGCCAACACCACCAGTGACGATTATCGAGACCGGTCCCGGGCCTCCCCTAGGTCGACTCGGCCTCAAATGGGTACCCTGGTGCGGTGTCTAAAAACATCGCCACTGGGGAGACAAAGGCGGTCGGGCGTGGTGCTGGCCACCCACCCCCCTCGTGTACCGTTACCGGCCTTCATAGGTGCTCGCTAACAGCACTTGCCCCTACAGTCTGTTAAGGCTACACGGGGGACCTTTGTCTTTTGTGATGTTGCAGAGAGATGGAGCGAACTTTCTTGGCGGTGAAACCCGACGGAGTCCAGAGGGGATTGGTGGGCGAGATTGTGGGCCGCTTCGAGAAGAAGGGATTCCACCTCGTCGCCCTCAAGATGATTCACGTGAGGCGCTCGCTCGGAAGGCTCGCTCAGACTCGTTCAGACTCGCTCGCTCACTCACTCGCTCATAGACTCGCTCGCTCACTTACTCGCTCATAGACTCGCTCGCTCACTTACTCGCTCATAGACTCGCTCGCTCACTTACTCGCTCATAGACTCGCTCGCTCAGAGACTCGCTCGCTCAGAGACTCGCTCGCTCAGACTCGCTCGCTCAGACTCACTCGCTCAGAGACTCGCTCGCTCAGAGACTCGCTCGCTCAGAGACTCGCTCGCTCAGAGACTCGCTCGCTCAGAGACTCGCTCGCTCAGAGACTCGCTCGCTCAGACTCACTCGCTCAGAGACTCGCTCGCTCAGACTCGCTCGCTCAGAGACTCGCTCAGAGACTCGCTCAGGCTCGCTCGCTCAGACTCGCTTGCTCAGAGACTCGCTCGCTCAGAGACTCGCTCGCTCATAGACTCGCTCGCTCAGACTCACCGACGGAGTCCAGAGGGGACTGGTGGGCGAGATTGTGGGCCGCTTCGAGAAGAAGGGATTCCACCTCGTCGCCCTCAAGATGATTCACGTGAGGGGCATCGCTCGCTCGGACTCGGAGGCTCGCTCAGACTCGCTCGCTCAGAGACTCGCTCGCTCAGTCGCTCAGAGACTCGCTCAGAGACTCGCTCAGAGACTCGCTCAGACTCGCTCAGAGACTCGCTCAGAGACTCGCTCAGAGACTCGCTCAGAGACTCGCTCAGAGACTCGCTCAGAGACTCGCTCAGACTCGCTCGCTCAGAGACTCGCTCAGAGGCTCGCTCAGAGACTCGCTCAGAGACTCGCTCAGAGACTCGCTCAGACTCGCTCGCTCAGAGACTCGCTCAGAGACTCGCTCAGAGACTCGCTCAGAGACTCGCTCAGAGGCTCGCTCAGAGACTCGCTCAGAGACTCGCTCAGAGACTCGCTCAGACTCGCTCGCTCAGAGACTCGCTCAGACTCGCTCGCTCAGAGACTCGCTCAGACTCGCTCGCTCAGAGACTCGCTCAGACTCGCTCGCTCAGAGACTCGCTCAGACTCGCACGCTCAGAGACACGCTCAGACTCGCTCGCTCAGAGACTCGCTCAGACTCGCTCGCTCAGAGACTCGCTCAGACTCGCTCGCTCAGAGACTCGCTCAGACTCTCTCGCTCAGAGACTCGCTCAGACTCGCTCGCTCAGAGACTCGCTCAGACTCGCTCGCTCAGAGACTCGCTCAGACTCGCTCGCTCAGAGACTCGCTCAGACTCGCTCGCTCAGAGACTCGCTCAGACTCGCTCGCTCAGAGACTCGCTCAGACTCGCTCGCTCAGAGACTCGCTCAGACTCGCTCGCTCAGAGACTCGCTCAGACTCGCTCGCTCAGAGACTCGCTCGCTCAGAGACTCGCTCGCTCAGAGACTCGCTCGCTCAGACTCACTCGCTCAGACTCACTCGCTCAGGCTCGCTCGCTCAGAGACTCACTCGCTCAGAGACTCACTCACTCGCTCAGGCTCACTCAGACTCGCTCGCTCAGAGAATCGAGATGATTCACATGAGTACTTGCAGACACCACTGCACTTACATCGACCCACAGACCCACACCTCCAGAGACCCACAGATCCAGAGACCCACAGATCCACACCCACAGAGACCCACAGATCCACACCTCCAGAGACCCACAGATCCACACCTCCAGAGACCCACAGATCTACACCTACAGAGACCCACAGATCCACACCTCTAGAGACCCACAGATCCACACCTCTAGAGACCCACAGATCCACACCTCCAGAGACCCACAGATCCACACCTACAGTGACCCACAGATCCACATCTCCAGAGACCCACAGATCCACACCTCCCAGAGACCCACAGATCCACACCTCCACAGATCCACACCTACAGAGACCCACAGATCCACACCTCCAGAGACCCACAGATCCACACCTACAGAGACCCACAGATCCACACCTCCAGAGACCCACACCTCCAGAGACCCACAGATCCACACCTCCCAGAGACCCACACCTCCTAGAGACCCACAGATCCACACCTACAGAGACCCACAGACCCACACCTACAGAGACCCACAGATCCACGAGACCTCCAGAGACCCACAGATCCACACCTACAGAGACCCACAGATCCACACCTCAAGAGACCCACAGATCCACACCCACAGAGACCCACAGATCCACACCTCCCAGAGACCCACAGATCCACACCTCCCAGAGACCCACAGATCCACACCTACAGAGACCCACAGATCCACACCTCCCAGAGACCCACAGATCCACACCTCCCAGAGACCCACAGATCCACACCTCCCAGAGACCCACAGATCCACACCTCCCAGAGACCCACAGATCCACACCTCCCAGAGACCCACAGATCCACACCTCCAGAGACCCACAGATCCACACCTACAGAGACCCACAGATCCACACCTCCAGAGACCCACAGATCCACGAGACCGCCAGAGACCCACAGATCCACACCTACAGAGACCCACAGATCCACACCTCCCAGAGACCCACAGATCCACACCTCCCAGAGACCCACAGATCCACACCTCCCAGAGACCCACAGATCCACACCTACAGAGACCCACAGATCCACACCTACAGAGACCCACAGATCCATACCTACAGAGACCCACAGACCCACACCTACAGAGACCCACAGACCCACAGATCCACACCTCCAGAGGAGACCCACAGATCCACACCTCCAGAGGAGACCCACAGATCCCCACCTCCAGAGACCCACAGATCCACACCTACAGAGACCCACAGATCCACACCTCCAGAGACCCACAGATCCACACCTCCAGAGACCCACAGATCCACACCTCCAGAGACCCACAGATCCACACCTACAGAGACCCACAGATCCACACCTCCCAGAGACCCACAGATCCACACCTCCAGAGACCCACAGATCCACACCTACAGAGACCCACAGATCCACACCTACAGAGACCCACAGATCCACACCTACAGAGACCCACAGATCCACACCTACAGAGACCCACAGATCCACACCTACAGAGACCCACAGATCCACACCTCCAGAGACCCACAGATCCACACCTCCAGAGACCCACAGATCCACACCTCCAGAGACCCACAGATCCACACCTCCAGAGACCCACAGATCCACACCTCCAGAGACCCACAGATCCACACGACCTCCAGAGACCCACAGATCCACACGACCTCCAGAGACCCACAGATCCACACGACCTCCAGAGACCCACAGATCCACACGACCTCCAGAGACCCACAGATCCACACGACCTCCAGAGACCCACAGATCCACACGACCTCCAGAGACCCACAGATCCACACGACCTCCAGAGACCCACAGATCCACACGACCTCCAGAGACCCACAGATCCACACGACCTCCAGAGACCCACAGATCCACACGACCTCCAGAGACCCACAGATCCACACGACCTCCAGAGACCCACAGATCCACACGACCTCCAGAGACCCACAGATCCACGAGACCTCCAGAGACCCACAGATCCACGAGACCTCCAGAGACCCACAGATCCACGAGACCTCCAGAGACCCACAGATCCACGAGACCTCCAGAGACCCACAGATCCACACCTCCAGAGACCCACAGATCCACACCTACAGAGATCCACACCTCCCAGAGACCCCCACATATCCACGAGACCTCCTGTAGGCCAGGCGAGGTAGTCGACATCTCACCACTGGGATAGAGACGCGCACGGACCCCACATCATACAGCAGGTATCGTCAGTGTCACGGCATCGAACCCACGAGTCCTCCTGTAGACCGGGCGAGGTAGTCAACATCTCACCGCCTGTGGATCTGTGGGTCTCTCCGTCGTATTTGAAGCGACTTCGCACGGGGGGGGGGGGGGGGGGGGGGGGAATAAAAATCTTTCCGCCCGCTCGACATTGTTCCGCGCGGGTGTGAACATCCACCCGCTCGTGATTATTGAGATTGAGCTCCTCACCTCCACCACCACCACCTTAACCTCCACCACCCTCCACCACCACCACCTTCACCCCCACCACCACCACCACCACCTTCACCACCACCACCTCCACCACCACCACCACCTTCACCACCACCACCTTCACCACCACCCTCCACCACCACCACCACCTTCACCCCCACCACCACCTCCACCACCTCCACCACCTTCACCTCCACCACCTTCACCTCCACCACCTTCACCTCCACCACCACCACCTCCACCACCACCTTCACCTCCACCTTCACCACCACCATCTCCACCACCACCTTCACCACCACCATCACCACCACCACCTTCACCACCACCACCTTCACCTCCACCACCACCTTCACCTCCACCTTCACCACCACCATCACCACCACCACCTTCACCTCCACCACCACCACCTCCACCACCACCTTCACCTCCACCTTCACCACCACCATCTCCACCACCACCTTCACCACCACCATCACCACCACCACCTTCACCTCCACCACCACCACCTCCACCACCACCTTCACCTCCACCTTCACCACCACCATCTCCACCACCACCTTCACCACCACCATCACCACCACCACCTTCACCACCACCACCTTCACCTTCACCACCACCATCTCCACCACCACCACCTTCACCACCACCACCTTCACCTCCATCACCACCACCACCTTTACCTCCACCACCAGCATCTCCACCACCACCACCACCTCCACCACCACCACCAGCAGCCAAGGAAGGCCCAAGGGGGAGGGGGGGGGGGGAAGGTTTTTCTCTGACGTCACCATTCTCACGCCAAAACTCGTGGGCGTCCCTGGCCACCCCAGAACGCCCAGCGGCTGTCTTGTGACTGACCCGCCGATTTATAAAACCGCTGGATTTTTACTTCACCCGGCTTGGATTCGTGTCTTGGATTAAGTCGTGGTGGTGGCTGGTGGTGGTGGGTGGCGGTGGTGGGCGGTGGTGGTGGGCGGTGGTGGTGGGCGGTGGTGGTGGGCGGTGGTGGTGGGCGGTGGTGGTGGGCGGTGGTGGTGGGCGGTGGTGGTGGGCGGTGGTGGTGGGCGAGATGCGTGACGTCAGGCATGCGGGTGGCATCGCAGGATGTGATGTCAGCGCTCGCTTGCCGTGCACCACGTGTCCTCCGTTGATGCACCTCCCCCCCTACCTGAAAATCCTGGCTCCTCTATACCATTGCCCAACACGGGCTGCACATATACAGCAGCAGCAGCAGCAGGCATCGTCAGGGTAACAGGGATAGAACCCACGACCTCCTGTAGACCGGGCGAGGTAGTCAACATCTAGAGAGAGAGAGAGAGACAGACTCCACATACACAGCAGTAGCAGACATCGTCAGGGTAACAGGGATAGAACCCACGACCTCCTGTAGACCGGGCGAGGCAGTCAACATCTACACACAGAGAGACACACACACAGACTCCACATATACAGCAGTAGCAGTAGTAGCAGGCATCGTCAGGGTAACAGGGATATAGAAGCCACGACCTCCTGTAGACCGGGCGAGGTAGTCAACATCTACACAGAGACACACACACAGACTCCAGATATATACAGCAGTAGTAGCAGGCATCGTCAGGGTTACAGGGATGGAAGCCACGACCTCCTGTAGACCGGGCGAGGTAGTCAACATCTACACAGACAGACACACACACAGACTCCAAATATACAGCAGTAGCAGTAGTAGCGGGCATCGTCAGGGATACAGGGATAGAACCCACGACCTCCTGTAGACCGGGCGAGGTAGTCAACATCTACACAGAGAGAGAGACACACAGAATCTTCAAATCTACAGCAGCAGCAGGCATTGTCAGGGTTACAGGGATAGAACCCACGACCTCCTGTAGACCAGGCGAGGTAGTCAACATCTTCACAGAGAGAGACACACACACAGACTCCAGATATATACAGCAGCAGTAGCAGGCATCTTCAGGGTTACAGGGATAGAAGCCACGACCTCCTGTAGACCAGGCGAGGTAGTCAACATCTACACAGAGAGAGACACAGACTTCAGATATATACAGCAGTAGCAGGCATCGTCAGGGTAACAGGGATAGAACCCACGACCTCCTGTATACCAGGTGAGGTAGTCAACATCTACACAGAGAGACACACACAGACTCCAGATATACAGCAGTAGCAGCAGGCATCGTCAGGGTTACAGGGATAGAACCCACGACCTCCTGTATACCAGGTGAGGTAGTCAACATCTACACAGAGAGACACACACAGACTCCAAATCTACAGCAGTAGCAGCAGGCATCGTCAGGGTTACGGGGATAGAACCCACGACCTCCTGTAGACCAGGCGAGGTAGTCAACATCTACACAGACAGACACACACAGACTCCAAATATACAGCAGCAGCAGTAGCAGGCATCGTCAGGGTTACGGGGATAGAACCCACGACCTCCTGTAGACCAGGCGAGGTAGTCAACATCTACACAGACAGACACACACAGACTCCAAATATACAGCAGCAGCAGTAGCAGGCATCGTCAGGGTTACAGGGATAGAACCCACGATCTCCTGTATACCAAGCGAGGTAGTCAACATCTACACAGAGAGAGAGACACACAGACTGCAGATATACAGCAGTAGCGGGCATCGTCAGGGCTAAAGGGATAGAACCCACGACCTCCTGTAGACCAGGCGAGGTAGTCAACATCTACACAGAGAGAGACACACACAGACTCCACATATACAGCAGTAGTAGCAGTAGTAGCGGGCATCGTCAGGGATACAGGGAGAGAACCCACGACCTCCTGTAGACCGGGCGAGGTAGTCAACATCTACACAGAGAGACACACAGACTCCAAATCTACAGCAGCAGCAGCAGGCATTGTCAGGGATACAGGGAGAGAACCCACGACCTCCTGTAGACCAGGCGAGGTAGTCAACATCTCACCACTGGGAGAGGGAGACACAGACTCCAGATATGCAGCAGCAGCAGGCATCGTCAGGGTCTGGGATTGAACCCTGGTGGTGGTGGTGGTTGGTGGTGGTGGGTGGTGGGTGGTGGGTGGTGGGTGGTGGGTGGTGGTGGTGGTTGGTGGTGGTGGTTGTTGTTAATGGTTGTTGTTGTTGTTGTTGACAGGCGTCACGTGAGCTGCTGCAACAGCACTACATTGACCTGAAGGATCGCCCCTTCTACCCGGGCCTGGTGGAATACATGCACTCTGGGCCTGTCGTGGCCATGGTGAGTCGCCCGCTCGCTCACCCACTCGCTCGCCCGCACGCTCGTCCATCCATCCACTCATCCACTCACTCACCCGCTTGCTCACCCACATGCTCACCCACTCACCCGCACGCTCCACCTGCTCATCCACTCACTCACCCACCCACTTGCTCACCCACCCACTCGCTAGACACTGCTGCTGCTACTCGCTAGCTAACAGCACTTGCCCCTACAGCCCTGCCGGAGGCTACCTGGGGGAGCTTTATCTGTGTGTGTGGAGTGTATAGTATATAGACACTGCTGCTGCTACTCGCTAGCTAACAGCACTTGCCCCTACAGCCCTGCTAGAGGCCACCTGGGGGTAGCTTTATCTGTGTGTGGTGTGTGTAGTACATAGACACTGCTGCTGCTACTCGCTAGCTAACAGCACTTTCCCCTGCAGCCCTGCTAGAGGCTACCTGGTGGAGCTTTGTCTGTGTGTGTGGTGTGTGTAGTACATAGACACTGCTGCTGCTACTCGCTAGCTAACAGCACTTGCCCCTGCAGCCCTGCTAGAGGCTACCTGGGGGAGCTTTGTCTGTGTGTGGTGTGTGTAGTACATAGACACTGCTGCTGCTACTCGCTAGCTAACAGCACTTGCCCCTACAGCCCTGCTAGAGGCTACCTGGTGGAGCTTTATCTGTGTGTGTGGTGTGTGTAGTACATAGACACTGCTGCTGCTACTCGCTAGCTAACAGCACTTGCCCCTACAGCCCTGCCGGAGCCTACCTGGGGGAGCTTTATCTGTGTGTGTGTTGTGTGTAGTACATAGACACTGCTGCTGCTACTCGCTAGCTAACAGCACTTGCCCCTACAGCCCTGCTAGAGGCTACCTGGGGGTAGCTTTATCTGTGTGTGGTGTGTGTAGTACATAGACACTGCTGCTGCTACTCGCTAGCTAACAGCACTTTCCCCTGCAGCCCTGCTAGAGGCTACCTGGTGGAGCTTTATCTGTGTGTGTGGTGTGTGTAGTACATAGACACTGCTGCTGCTACTCGCTAGCTAACAGCACTTGCCCCTGCAGCCCTCCTAGAGGCTACCTGGGGGAGCTTTGTCTGTGTGTGGTGTGTGTAGTACATAGACACTGCTGCTGCTACTCGCTAGCTAACAGCACTTGCCCCTACAGCCCTGCTAGAGGCTACCTGGTGGAGCTTTATCTGTGTGTGTGGTGTGTGTAGTACATAGACACTGCTGCTGCTACTCGCTAGCTAACAGCACTTGCCCCTACAGCCCTGCTAGAGTCTACCTGGGTGAGCTTTGTCTGTGTGTGTGGTGTGTGTAGTACATAGACACTGCTGCTGCTACTCGCTAGCTAACAGCACTTGCCCCTGCAGCCCTGCTAGAGGCTACACGGGGGATCTGTGTCTGTGTATGGGTGCTGCTACTCGCTAGCTAACAGCACTTGCCCCTACAGCCCTGCCAGAGGCTACCTGGGGGAGCTTTATCTGTGTGTGGTGTGTGTAGTACATAGACACTGCTGCTGCTACTTGCTAGCTAACAGCACTTTCCCCTGCAGCCCTGCTAGAGGCTACCTGGGGGAGCTTTGTCTGTGTGTGTGGTGTGTGTAGTACATAGACACTGCTGCTGCTACTCGCTAGCTAACAGCACTTGCCCCTACAGCCCTGCCGGAGGCTACCTGGGGGAGCTTTATCTGTGTGTGTGGTGTGTGTAGTACATAGACACTGCTGCTGCTACTACTAACAGCACTTGCCCCTAGAGCCCTGCTAGAGGCTACCTGGTGGAGCTTTATCTGTGTGTGTGGTGTGTGTAGTACATAGACACTGCTGCTGCTACTCGCTAGCTAGCAGCACTTGCCCCTGCAGCCCTGTCGGAGGCTACCTGGGGGAGCTTTGTCTGTGTGTGTGGTGTGTGTAGTACATAGACACTGCTGCTGCTACTCGCTAGCTAGCAGCACTTGCCCCTACAGCCCTGCTAGAGGCTACCTGGGGGTAGCTTTGTCTGTGTGTGTGGTGTGTGTAGTACATAGACACTGCTGCTGCTACTCGCTAGCTAGCAGCACTTGCCCCTGCAGCCCTGTCGGAGGCTACCTGGGGTAGCTTTGTCTGTGTGTGTGTTGTGTGTAGTACATAGACACTGCTGATACTCGCTACTAACAGCACTTGCCCCTACAGCCCTGCTAGAGGCTACCTGGTGGAGCTTTATCTGTGTGTGTGGTGTGTGTAGTACATAGACACTGCTGCTGCTACTCGCTAGCTAGCAGCACTTGCCCCTGCAGCCCTGTCGGAGGCTACCTGGGGGAGCTTTGTCTGTGTGTGTGGTGTGTGTAGTACATAGACACTGCTGCTGCTACTCGCTAGCTAACAGCACTTGCCCCTACAGCCCTGCTAGAGGCTACCTGGGGGTAGCTTTGTCTGTGTGTGTGGTGTGTGTAGTACATAGACACTGCTGCTGCTACTCGCTAGCTAGCAGCACTTGCCCCTGCAGCCCTGTCGGAGGCTACCTGGGGGTAGCTTTGTCTGTGTGTGTGGTGTGTGTAGTACATAGACACTGCTGCTGCTACTCGCTAGCTAGCAGCACTTGCCCCTGCAGCCCTGTCGGAGGCTACCTGGGGTAGCTTTGTCTGTGTGTGTGTTGTGTGTAGTACATAGACACTGCTGATACTCGCTACTAACAGCACTTGCCCCTACAGCCCTGCTAGAGGCTACCTGGGGGTAGCTTTGTCTGTGTGTGTGGTGTGTGTAGTACATAGACACTGCTGCTGCTACTCGCTAGCTAGCAGCACTTGCCCCTGCAGCCCTGCTAGAGGCTACCTGGGGGTAGCTTTGTCTGTGTGTGTGGTGTGTGTAGTACATAGACACTGCTGCTGCTACTCGCTAGCTAACAGCACTTGCCCCTACAGCCCTGCTAGAGGCTACCTGGTGGAGCTTTATCTGTGTGTGTGGTGTGTGTAGTACATAGACACTGCTGCTGCTACTCGCTAGCTAACAGCACTTGCCCCTGCAGCCCTGCTAGAGGCTACCTGGGCGAGCTTTATCTGTGTGTGTGTGTGCTCCAGGTGTGGCAGGGAGCTAACGCGGTGAAGACAGCGCGGAAGATGCTGGGGGAGACGAAGCCGGACGACTCGAACCCCGGCACCATACGGGGAGACTTTGCCGTGCAAGTGGGGCGGTGAGGGAGACACGGGGAGAGAGAGAGAGAGACACGGGGAGAGAGAGAGACACGGGGAGAGAGAGAGAGAGAGACACGGGGAGAGAGAGAGACACGGGGAGAGAGGGAGACACGGGGAGAGAGAGAGAGAGAGACACGGGGAGAGAGGGACGGGGAGAGAGAGAGGGAGACACGGGGAGAGAGAGAGACACGGGGAGAGAGAGAGACACGGGGAGAGAGGGACGGGGAGAGAGAGAGGGAGACACGGGGAGAGAGGGACGGGGAGAGAGAGAGGGAGACACGGGGAGAGAGGGAGACACGGGGAGAGAGGGAGACACGGGGAGAGAGGGACGGGGAGAGAGAGAGAGACGCGGGGAGAGAAGGAGACACGGGGAGAGAGGGACGGGGAGAGAGAGAGACACGGGGAGAGAGAGAGACACACGGGGAGAGAGAGAGACACGGGGAGAGAGAGAGAGAGACACGGGGAGAGAGAGAGAGAGACACGGGGAGAGAGAGAGAGAGACACGGGGAGAGAGAGAGAGAGACACGGGGAGAGAGAGAGACACGGGGAGAGAGAGAGAGAGACACGGGGAGAGAGAGAGAGACACGGGGAGAGAGAGGGAGACACGGGGAGAGAGGGAGACACGGGGAGAGAGGGAGACACGGGGAGAGAGGGAGACACGGGGAGAGAGGGAGACACGGGGAGAGAGGGAGACACGGGGAGAGAGGGAGACACGGGGAGAGAGGGAGACACGGGGAGAGAGGGAGACACGGGGAGAGAGGGAGACACGGGGAGAGAGGGAGACACGGGGAGAGAGGGAGACACGGGGAGAGAGGGAGACACGGGGAGAGAGGGAGACACGGGGAGAGAGAGAGAGACACGGGGAGAGAGAGAGAGACACGGGGAGAGAGAGAGAGACACGGGGAGAGAGAGAGAGACACGGGGAGAGAGAGAGAGACACGGGGAGAGAGAGAGACACACGGGGAGAGAGAGAGACACACGGGGAGAGAGAGAGAGAGACACGGGGAGAGAGAGAGACACGGGGAGAGAGAGAGAGACACGGGGAGAGAGAGAGAGACACGAGGAGAGAGAGGGAGACACGGGGAGAGAGAGAGGGAGACACGGGGAGAGAGAGAGAGAGACACGGGGAGAGAGGGACGGGGAGAGAGAGAGACACGGGGAGAGAGAGAGACACGGGGAGAGAGAGAGACACGGGGAGAGAGAGAGACACGGGGAGAGAGAGAGACACGGGGAGAGAGAGAGACACGGGGAGAGAGAGAGACACGCGGGGAGAGAGGGAGACACGGGGAGAGAGAGAGAGAGACACGGGGAGAGAGGGAGACACGGGGAGAGGGAGAGACACGGGGAGAGGGAGAGAGGGAGAGACACGGGGAGAGGGAGAGAGGGAGACACGGGGAGAGAGGGAGACACGGGGAGAGAGGGAGACACGGGGAGAGAGAGAGACACGGGGAGAGAGAGAGACACGGGGAGAGAGAGACACGGGGAGAGAGAGAGACACGGGGAGAGAGAGAGACACGGGGAGAGAGGGAGACACGGTGAGAGAGGGAGACACGGGGAGAGAGGGAGACACGGGGAGAGAGGGAGACACGGGGAGAGAGGGAGACACGGGGAGAGAGGGAGACACGGGGAGAGAGGGAGACACGGGGAGAGAGGGAGACGCGGGGAGAGAGGGAGACGCGGGGAGAGAGGGAGACGCGGGGAGAGAGGGAGACGCGGGGAGAGAGGGAGACGCGGGGAGAGAGGGAGACGCGGGGAGAGAGGGAGACGCGGGGAGAGAGGGAGACGCGGGGAGAGAGGGAGACGCGGGGAGAGAGGGAGACTCGGGGAGAGAGGGAGACGCGGGGAGAGAGGGAGACGCGGGGAGAGAGGGAGACGCGGGGAGAGAGGGAGACGCGGGGAGAGAGGGAGACGCGGGGAGAGAGAGAGACACGGGGAGAGAGACACGGGGAGAGAGAGAGACACGGGGAGAGAGAGAGAGACACGGAGAGAGAGACACGGAGAGAGAGACACGGGGAGAGAGAGACACGGGGAGAGAGAGACACGGGGAGAGAGAGACACGGGGAGAGAGAGACACGGGGAGAGAGAGACACGGGGAGAGAGAGACACGGGGAGAGAGAGACACGGGGAGAGAGAGACACGGGGAGAGAGAGACAGGGGGAGAGAGAGACACGGGGAGAGAGAGAGAGACACGGGGAGAGAGAGGGAGACACGGGGAGAGAGAGAGGGAGACACGGGGAGAGAGAGAGAGGGAGACACGGGGAGAGAGAGAGAGGGAGACACGGGGAGAGAGAGAGAGGGAGACACGGGGAGAGAGAGAGAGGGAGACACGGGGAGAGAGAGAGAGACACGGGGAGAGAGAGAGGGAGACACGGGGAGAGAGAGAGAGACACGGGGAGAGAGAGAGAGACACGGGGAGAGAGAGAGACACGGGGAGAGAGAGAGACACGGGGAGAGAGAGAGAGACACGGGGAGAGAGAGAGAGGGAGACACGGGGAGAGAGAGAGGGAGACACGGGGAGAGAGAGAGGGAGACACGGGGAGAGAGAGAGGGAGACACGGGAGAGAGAGAGAGACACGGAGAGAGGGAGAGACACGGGGAGAGAGAGAGAGAGACACGGGGAGAGAGAGAGAGAGACACGGGGAGAGAGAGAGGGAGACACGGAGAGAGAGAGAGGGAGACACGGGGAGAGAGAGAGGGAGACACGGGGAGAGAGAGAGGGAGACACGGGGAGAGAGAGAGGGAGACACGGGGAGAGAGAGGGAGACACGGGGAGAGAGAGGGAGACACGGGGAGAGAGAGGGAGACACGGGGAGAGAGAGAGGGAGACACGGGGAGAGAGAGAGGGAGACACGGGGAGAGAGAGAGGGAGACACGGGGAGAGAGAGAGTGAGACACGGGGAGAGAGAGAGGGAGACACGGGGAGAGAGAGAGGGAGACACGGGGAGAGAGAGAGGGAGACACGGGGAGAGAGAGAGGGAGACACGGGGAGAGAGAGAGGGAGACACGGGGAGAGAGGGAGACACGGGGAGAGAGGGAGACACGGGGAGAGAGGGAGACACGGGGAGAGAGGGAGACACGGGGAGAGAGGGAGACACGGGGAGAGAGGGAGACACGGGGAGAGAGGGAGACACGGGGAGAGAGGGAGACACGGGGAGAGAGGGAGACACGGGGAGAGAGGGAGACACGGGGAGAGAGGGAGACACGGGGAGAGAGGGAGACACGGGGAGAGAGGGAGACACGGGGAGAGAGGGAGACACGGGGAGAGAGGGAGACACGGGGAGAGAGGGAGACACGGGGAGAGAGGGAGACACGGGGAGAGAGGGAGACACGGGGAGAGAGAGAGAGACGGGGAGAGAGAGAGAGACGGGGAGAGAGAGAGAGACGGGGAGAGAGAGAGAGACGGGGAGAGAGAGAGAGACGGGGAGAGAGAGAGACGGGGAGAGAGAGAGAGACGGGGAGAGAGAGAGAGACGGGGAGAGAGAGAGACGGGGAGAGAGAGAGAGACGGGGAGAGAGAGAGAGACGGGGAGAGAGAGAGAGACACGGGGAGAGAGAGAGAGACACGGGGAGAGAGAGAGAGACACGGGGAGAGAGAGAGAGACACGGGGAGAGAGAGAGAGACACGGGGAGAGAGAGAGAGACACGGGGAGAGAGAGAGAGACACGGGGAGAGAGAGAGAGACACGGGGAGAGAGAGAGAGACACGGGGAGAGAGAGAGAGACACGGGGAGAGAGAGAGAGACACGGGGAGAGAGAGAGAGACACGGGGAGAGAGAGAGAGACACGGGGAGAGAGAGAGAGACACGGGGAGAGAGAGAGAGACACGGGGAGAGAGAGAGAGACACGGGGAGAGAGAGAGAGACACGGGGAGAGAGAGAGAGACACGGGGAGAGAGAGAGAGACACGGGGAGAGAGAGAGAGACACGGGGAGAGAGAGAGAGACACGGGGAGAGAGAGAGAGACACGGGGAGAGAGAGAGAGACACGGGGAGAGAGAGAGAGACACGGGGAGAGAGAGAGAGACACGGGGAGAGAGAGAGAGACACGGGGAGAGAGAGAGAGACACGGGGAGAGAGAGAGAGACACGGGGAGAGAGAGAGAGACACGGGGAGAGAGAGAGAGACACGGGGAGAGAGAGAGAGACACGGGGAGAGAGAGAGAGACACGGGGAGAGAGAGAGAGACACGGGGAGAGAGAGAGAGACACGGGGAGAGAGAGAGAGACACGGGGAGAGAGAGAGAGACACGGGGAGAGAGAGAGAGACACGGGGAGAGAGAGAGAGACACGGGGAGAGAGAGAGAGACACGGGGAGAGAGAGAGAGACACGGGGAGAGAGAGAGAGACACGGGGAGAGAGAGAGAGACACGGGGAGAGAGAGAGAGACACGGGGAGAGAGAGAGAGACACGGGGAGAGAGAGAGAGACACGGGGAGAGAGAGAGAGACACGGGGAGAGAGAGAGAGACACGGGGAGAGAGAGAGAGACACGGGGAGAGAGAGAGACACGGGGAGAGAGAGAGAGACACGGGGAGAGAGAGAGAGACACGGGGAGAGAGAGAGAGACACGGGGAGAGAGAGAGAGACACGGGGAGAGAGAGAGAGACACGGGGAGAGAGAGAGAGACACGGGGAGAGAGAGAGAGACACGGGGAGAGAGAGAGAGACACGGGGAGAGAGAGAGAGACACGGGGAGAGAGAGAGAGACACGGGGAGAGAGAGAGAGACACGGGGAGAGAGAGAGAGACACGGGGAGAGAGAGAGAGACACGGGGAGAGAGAGAGAGACACGGGGAGAGAGAGAGAGACACGGGGAGAGAGAGAGAGACACGGGGAGAGAGAGAGAGACACGGGGAGAGAGAGAGAGACACGGGGAGAGAGAGAGAGACACGGGGAGAGAGAGAGAGACACGGGGAGAGAGAGAGAGACACGGGGAGAGAGAGAGAGACACGGGGAGAGAGAGAGAGACACGGGGAGAGAGAGAGAGACACGGGGAGAGAGAGAGAGAC